GAACCGTTTGAACAAGAAAAAGAGTTCTTGAGAATTGGCTATTTTTGCTGTACTCGGGTACCAAAATGGAAGAGATTAGCATATTACATTGTACTCCGTTACTAACCCCTTCGTGTCGGCAAATGCGGTGTGCAGATCTCGCTTTAGCAGCGATGTGCGAGATGTTATGCTAATCTCTTCCATTTTGGTACTAGTACCAGATGTTCACTATTTATTGTATATTATGTATATATTGTTTATTTAAATAAAAGTCAATCGTCAGGCTCAATAGCACGTAGCATCGGCTAGCTTTATCTAGTCTGTTAGATGGCGAATATTGAAATGTCACATTGACACGTTAAGCGCCACAGTAGAATCTGAAAATCCAGTCCACTGGGCCAAACTGTTATTATTGTCAAATTAGCTTGTTTTAAGTTTCGGTTCAATATTTTGACCTGACTTTTTTCTCAAATCCTATGATTTTTCCCCTTTTTTGATTTTTTTTTTCTGAGGTACTAATTGTATGTCGCGTGGCCCACAGACCAGTCGGGTCGCGTGGCACATAAGTCGCGTCGCGTTTTTTGCAAGTCAAGACTTGCATCATGTCGCGCGTTGAGCACTGTTTCGTGTCATTTATTATTGAAGCGTTGTTGGTATTGTACGTCATCTTGTCCAAATTGCTTTACTGTTTAGAAATTATTGAATACCAAATTTGTGATGTCGCATTACGAAGCAGAGCAAAAAAGGCTTGAACAATTGTGTAATGAAATACTATCGGATGAAGAGAGTGGCAGTACTGAGTTATGTGGGGATGTATACTTATCTGATGCGTATTCTCCAAGTGGTAGTGAATCAGATAGTAGTTGTAGTAATTCCATATTTATCTGTATTACTGTTTATTTATACCGGTATTTTGTTTATTCCTGCATAAGACTTTGTCAATCTGTTTAGTTTATAAGAGTTCCTCCATATTTGTGTTCGTTAGAATATCGACATTTACCATAACTTACTGATTTGCTGTGAAATTACTTTGTTCATTTTTGAATGAGAATGTCTGATTATTTTATAAGATTTGCTTTTTGTTTTAGATTTGTAGAATATCCTCTTTTTGTAAAACTCTATAAACAACGTGTTTTTTAATGTTTTCATTTCCAATTCAGTATAATTTGGTCCCTCAGGCCACGGACTCTTGGTTCCCGTAAGAAAATCACATCAGCATGGCACACGTCTTACGTTACGCGGCCAAATATAACTGCCAGCAGTGAGACATATCATGTGTGTCACGAGGCCCAAAGCGCCAAATGAGCTGCGACACACGCATTATATCTCATGACGTGTTAAGTTTATTTTACGATACTCCATAAGGTTAAAGCTAAACAGCAAGTGACATTTTATTTGTGGTAAATGCGTTCACTATAATTATTATTTTTAACTAAAAAGATTACCGCCTCCAATGACCCTGGAACCACCTGGAAACTTTTGGTCACAAAGTTCTGTATTTTACCACACATGTCAAGTCTTTTCATTTGATATGTATATTGGGGGTTTTGTACAAAAATATGTAACTCGCAATTTCGAAACGGCGGCAATCTTGGAATCAAATTTTTAGTGAAGTACTGTATTCTACAAGGCGACGACTCTTATTTGAGATATTAGCAAGTATGTTATCCGCCATTTTGTAACGGCCGCCATCTTGATTTGAAACTGTTTTCGTATTACTGTTTTGTAAAAGTGCTTCCATTTGATATCCATATTGGGGTGATTGAACAAAAATGATTTTTTGTGGTATCACCTCTGAAGCATGGCCTATTGTATAAAAAGAAATGATCAAAATCTATTAAAATTTTCCCCTCTTTCATTGAAGTCTATTAAAAATATCACTTAATGGTCCGATGTTTATCTCGAACGACCGACGTTAAAACTGCTACTGTTTAACTTGGGACAACAAATTATCTGAATACGTCCTTTCTTAGTCCGTACACACCGCCGCGTTGCTTCGACTGGCAGCGCGAGATAGTGGATAAAATTTGTGTAAAAGCCTATTTGCAGAGGTTTTCGCGCTTCAAAATTGACGCTTCATTTTTGAATATTTTTCAATGAAATTTTCACAGTGCACTAAAAACAAGACTCCACAGGGTGCTATAGAGCCACTTTTTCGTTTTTTCCTCTGGGTTATTTTTAAAAAAATCGAGAAGTCGAACAACAATTATCTGCACTTCCACCCACCATAACTCCTGAAAAAAAATTTTTTTTAGAAAAGTGGCTCTATAGCACCCTGGACAATTGTCTTCTTAACATACTGTATAAATTTTATTCAAATATATAGAAAAATGGAGCGTCAATTCCGAAGCAGCTAAACCCTTGTAAATGGCCTGAAACTCACTGCGTCGGAGCCGCCTTAAGATGAAAAGTTTATATAAACGTATGTCCAGAAATGCTTCACTTTCTCTTGAAGGTTTGAAGTGAAGGTTTCCTAAATGCCTTGATTGACTTTCAGTCGATTTTTTTTAAATCTAGCAGTGGTATTTTGGGCAGCAAGGGGCTAATTTATCCCCAATTAGACTGATACTACTAAATCCAGTGGCGTCTGAGAAAACATCCTAAACAATATCTTTGACAAAACATTTGTGCGCAACTGACTTTTCTCAATTTTTCTTCGAATTAAACAGCTAAAAATACAACTTTTTTATCTCTTGAGCTTCGTTCATACTTCGTTTTGTTTGCGAGATAGAAAATATAAAGCACTTTAATGCATATCCCTGGGACAATAACATAATAACACATTAAAACCACCAACCTAATTAAGCAACTAACATTAGACCAAGGACATCTCTTGGATGTTTTCATACACATTTAAAGAAATTATTGAAACTGAATTTAGGTATATCGGAGACCAGATCAGGGTTGCATATTCTGACTTGCTTCTGACAAAAGTAAGGAACAAAGTCGTTAAAGTACTGACATTGGAGAACCCCTTCCAGTTTCTGATACAGAAGCCAAGCAGCCTGGTGGCAGCCGATGAGATATTAAGTGTATGTTCCCTAAACATTAGCCTGCTATCAAAGGTTACTCGAAGGTTCTTAAAAGAGTAGCATCTCGCTAGAACCAGACCGTTGACGTTATAATGATCATATATTAAATAATTGGTCTTTCTTGTATAAGACTCAGCTTTACATTTAGTTAAACATTTAAACTTATACAGTTTCGCGAACACCATGAGGTAATTAAGTCTAAATTATCCTACAGCATGAGACAATCATTTGACTCGACCGATGCGTAAATCTTAATGTCGTCAGCAAAAAACAGATGCAAACACTTGAGATCAACAGACAAATCGTTAATAAAGATCAGGAACAATAAATGTTTAAAAGTAGTTTTAAGAAGATGTTCTGCCGGTTGGATTTTTTTTCAATTTCCAGCGCTACCAATATGCACCGACACTGGCAAAACACTGCAACACTAAATAACGTCATGTACTTATTACAACAGGGTAGTCAGAAGTATACGGCAATTTTTTCGTACGGTCCGGCTATATTGCTTGACATTTCCCACTTTTTTTATTATTTATATCAGTTTGGCGAATTATAAGAAACTTCATGTAATATTATGTAAACAAGTTTGTTTGTCTTGACGCGTATACATTTTTGATCTCCATTCTTGCCTAATTTTGGAGCCTTTGTGATTAGAAATTCTGACAAGTGCAGATTCCTACATATTATATAGACAATATTGCTATTATATAGCAAATATACAGGGTGTAAACATTATGGTAGTCATTATTGAAATGTCAATTATTATAGGACGCCTTTATGGCTACCTTGATTTTCATAGTTTTTCCTGTCCTACAGAAAGGCGCATTACTTTAAACTTATGTTACAAATATCTATTTGCATCAAATTCTGTCGTGTGACAGCAGAACCTAGTAAGTCACTTTTTATCAGGTTTGAAAAATAACATATTTTCAATAAACATTCGGCTTTCGAAAAGTTTTATGAATATTAAAAAAATTGTCTGAAGGGTTATGTAACTTGCTAAATTCGATAGCATCAATTTTATTCATGTGATAGTTTTGTTTATGGTAGAAAAGTGACTTACGTTTTTTTTTCATGGTTTCTTTTTCGATATTAAATTAAGATACTTTAGCAGAAAATGGTAAGTCAACTTACTGATTTTTACAAAATTTCGACTAGAGAAAATAAAAAAAAAAGATATTGTAAGTGTACTTACTAAGGTTTTATTTGATATAATTTATGTGCGAAGGCGAACACAAAAAGTAACATATCTACTTACTAACTGGAAAATAAACATTTGAATGAAAAACGGTGGAACATAAAACAGCAAGTCTACATACAAGAAGAACAAGAACTTAAGCGCTAAGCCTCTGATACCACACATAACTCTTTGGAATTATCATTGGATGGCAAAAACTGCCAAAATAGTTTCTTTCTTTCATCTTTGAAGGATGGTACCAATTTTTTTAAAATTGTTTCTCTTTTTTCTGAGTTCAATCCCAGTGGCTCGACAAAAGGATGTATAGGGAATTTGAGATCAACTTTTTTTTTAAAAAACTCGACTTCCTGAAAGACAGTTTCATTATGGCATTCTTTATAAAACAAGTGTCTGCATCCTTTGCGAAACTGAGCGAGCTTAATTTTTTCAAGAAGAGGTATATTATTGCTTTTTCTATCTTTGCTTCCATCTTCAAAGAGGAAAAAACCAAAATTATTTATAGGCAAACATTTAGTTTTTTTTGGGGACTGCTCAATTATTTTCAGAAGCTGTTCAAAATCATAAATGTTTGGGTGTTTTTTCATTTCTGTGCTGATTCGGCCATGAACCGAATCCGCAGCCATAAATGAATGGCCTGGTTCAAAATATTTTAGGGTGATCTCTTCTGGACCCCATTCACAATTTACAAAAGTCGCAAAAGCAGAATATAGTGTCCAATTCTTGTTCTGAGCAGAACAGTTGTCTACCCAGAATGTAAATTTTTTGGTAACATTGTCTGAATTTTTTATTACGTTGTAGTATGCCGATGCAACATCCGTCGCGGACCTGCCTCTTATAGCCTCATGCCACATCACGCAAATATTTCCGTCCTTATGAAGTGACGCAAACGTCTCATTGAATACGACCAACCTCCAACAACAAATATAGAAGTATATAAAAGTTTAATACAATTATATATAATTATAAACGAAACAAAAAAAGATTCCTTGGTTGACATTTTGGGCAAGAGTAAGACTTTCTGCATATCTACAGCATAGACCTTCTCATCTTGCATTACCTCTTGATTGGAGTCATTTTCATAGTGCTGTCTTGCTTCCGTATAACTTTTTTTGTGGTTTTCGAATTGACAACAAATCTTGCAACTACTTGCGTCGCATTGGCGAATAATGTGAACTTTATGTTTTAGACACTGAGCGCATTCGTCTTGGGATGGCTTTTTAAACCCAATATTCTGTTTTTCAAAAATTCTTCTGTATAGATCATATGAAATTTTCTGTAGATTACAGAAGTCTTGCCACATGTATTTAATGGTCAAGTCAGGTGGCAAGAATCGTCTATTCGGGGTGTGCTTTAAATTATAGTGAGATACTACCGGATTGAATGAGTTTATATGCTTTATGACAATTTCCTCTGTTCTCATTTTTTGTTCTTCTAGCATGCCTCTAATAACTAACCCCCTTTCATCCACTGTTTGTGCAATTCCTTCTACACTTCGCTTTTTGGAATGTATATGGCAAGTTATCATACCATCTGTTTTAAGTCCTAAAGTATGCAAAAACATTGTTTTGCACACTTGTATTTTTTCAAATTTAGCTTCAGTTTCCACTGGAAGGGGTAGAAAATATTTCAGAGAAACATTCCTGGAAGAGCGCTGAGCCTCTTGCCGCCTTACCTTGATTTCAAATTGTTTGATATGAGCATCCAAAAAAGTCTACGCTCGCCAAAGCTGAGTCTCCAGAATTTCGTTCTTATCAATTCTCTCAGCATTGATTTTTGAGCTACATTTCTGCCTGCAATTATTATGGCATGATAGCAGTAGGGGGTGCTTTTCTTGCTTGTCTGGCCTTTCTTGGGAAACTCTGCAGTTTGCATTCACATTCTCGTTGACTTTTTTCAAAGGCTGCCTGTTTTTGAGGGGCGCAAGCGATACGTCATCAAAGTCCGAAAATTTAATTTTTTTCCTTCTAGGGGATACTGACGGCTCATAATTTGGGTCTGCATCAGAATCGTCATAATCTGATATAGGTTCTTCATCATGTTGCTGACGCTCTTCGAGAGGTTCATTTCTGAAAGATAAAATAAATAGAGGTCAGCGGTTTGAATATATATTTCAAATACGAAAACCGTATTGCAAGAATTAGCTTTTTGTTTGTAGTAATTATAATCTTTTATTTTACTGAAAAAAAACATCAGACTGCAATGTTACTCCTGAGTTAATATTTCATTTGGCTTATATGTAATGTATGATGCTTGCACTCACCTCTCTGTAATGCATAAACTCGTTATGAATTTTCCTCTCGACATATTCTGGATATTAACTACAGTACTAACGTTAAACTAATTCGCGACTGTCCTCACCGATCCACACTCTATGCCAGTTGGAACATGACTGCGGAAACGCTGTAGCATGCATCCGTGCCTACACTCAATCGGCTTGAAATCATGGCATGAAAATTTAGCAAAAACTAGCAAGTGCGTTTACGACGGAGTCTCCCGCCAAATTTCCTACAAAAAAAAATCTTCAAAACGTAGCATGTAGACATGCCATCATTTGTTGATTTTTTAAATGCTGTTCTGATGACTTACTAGGAAACATGAGACAAAGATATACGATTTAGAGTGCGTCTGAGCGAGGGAAAAAAATTCAACTAGTAGAACTTTTTACGGGCTTTTCAAAAATGACGTAAAAATGTAAAACCTAGTAAGTCGACTTACTAGGTTCTGCTGTCACACGACAGAATTGTTCATGCTGTTGGTTTTTGTCACCTGTTTCATCAGCCTGAAATATCCTATAATTCAAAAAGAAAACGTCACAGATTTTTGAAATTCCTCAAAATATCTTCATCTATGGCGCAGAGTCAACCAATCAGAAGGCTTTTGTGGAGCAATGGGTCTAATGTGCGTGGTCGATTTCCCGTAAAATCTCTGTCAAGCTTTAAAATTATACGAGTTGTGTAAAATCCGCCCCTAATTCCCATATTAAATGAAGATAAGGTGTAAAGTGTCGAAACCACATAACTTTTTTTCTACCAGTTTGATCACTTACCAGCAATTTGAATTGCTCTTTATTAATGATAGAGTACTGATTCCTAGGCCAAAAACTTTTCTATGATTTTCTTTTGTCAAATTTCATAATGTATCGATTATTCAGCTCTAAATTATCTAATCCTGAGAGTACAATTTCACGCACTATATCCTTCTTTCTTAGCGACTCAGTATTGTGTTGAAATCTTTTTTACAGTAATGTTATAATATTTTATTAATGACCATCGCAGAAACTTTCTCATGAAATATCGTTCCTCGTAAGGTTGGTTATTTAGGTATGTCGATAGGCAACCATCGATGTCGTGGAACGCTCTCCTACTTTTGACATTGACTGACAGTCAACTGACTGACTGACGGGAAGTCCTGTCGGTCATTTCCTGCTGAGGCCTTGGTTGAGAAGGGATGTGTCATTTGGTTCCCAAATTTTGGAATATTAGCCCCCAGTCACCAGCTTATGGAGTAGTACCCTTTTTTTACATACCTTATCTTTAGTTTTGTTTTGGTTGTTGTTTGGCTACCCTACGTCCATTTTTATGGGATTTTAACCTCACCAATGGCAAGTTCTTTGTTTGTACCCTCTGACCACGTGCATTAATGCATGTCTAGAAGAAAGTTGCTCAATATCTGCTTTCTTCTAGCATTGAGAAAAACTACCATCCGTATTCCTCCAGCTTTCTAGCTGTCTTCCAGCCAGCTGATTTTGTTGGGAACCATCCCTTTTTCTTGAAAAAAAAACCTTGATGCAAACAGGTGAAATATTTTAATTAAATGTTTTATAAATATTTATATATTGATTATTGTGGACTGAAATTCTTAGGGTGTACTTGATATTGTCTGGCATTTTTCTTGTACAAATATGGGGCAGTGCCATAATTTTCTCAGAACAAGGGATACTTTTTTGAGGGTATATTACTTTAATACATTCTTGTTCTTTTTTGCCTTTGCTTCAATTTTTGTTTCTTAAAAATGTACATGCTTTTTCAAGTTCAATTGTAGTATTATTATGGAATGTATGTTAGTCCAGGACTGTTAGACTTCCTCTGCTGAAAAAATCTCACCTGGCTGAATTTTTTACCACAGCTTCTTTTCAGCATTATAAATCATCCCTCAAAAGTCTCCATGAATCCAAGTGGAGCTTTTTCATGGGGAGGTCAAAGCTCACAAAAAAACCCTTTTTTCCATATATCTTCGAAAATATCAATTCTACGATAAAACGAGCCTTTTGTTTGCTATGAAATTCTCCACAAAAAGGGTTCTATGCATTTTTTTCGTACAGATCGTTTTTCCAAGGAAATTTTACTTTCAATGCTGAACATCGACAAAATTGTAAAATAACGTACTTTTTCCCACGTCACTGTAGAGGTAAAGCACCAGACGCGGATTCCCCAACATGCCTAATCCACGAAGATAAAATGGAAAAATGATGTTGTTGCCACTTGTTTCCTTAGTCATCTATGTGACATGATGCGGCATCATCTAAGACTTCGCCAACCTCAGGTGTTGTGCATAGGAAATTCATAAGGCTAAAATTCTCATCAAATTACACATTATTTGACTCTTCATTGTTTGAGATCATATTCAGATACGACTGTCCATAACAGTAGCCGCAAGTGGCGGAACAGTGTAGGCCAAGTCTCCAACATCCACGGTTAGCTCCACAACCTTTCGTACAATTACAAAAGATTGTTTCTAATAAGACAGCAGGAGCAGGTGGCAATAGAGTTTGTATTGGCTGTAAACATTCGTCGGTCAGAATCCATCCCCAATCCAATGGATTCAAATTATTTCCAAGCCACTTCTTAACTTGATAATACACACGACATAAGTGAGCTTGAGCGGCACTCGATATTGGTGGCAGCATTGAAATCTTGACAGCTTTATCATGGTCAAGAGATTCTTTGCGCGGTGGACCCAACTAGCAAAGTAGTGCTATAAGCTTTTGGTAAAAGAACCGTTCAGCCATAAAAGTTCTCTGTTGTTGTTGCCTGAACACCAAAATGCTGGCTTAATGTTGTGTGGAATGCAAATTTGCTATTTGCAACATATTTGCTCTAAAATGAGGTGTTTAAAATATTCTTATAGCATAGCTACACAACACCTTATAGGACAAATCTTTAGCTGTTGCATAAACGTTTATACAACTATTTTATACGGCATATTTGCAGGTTAGTCAAAATGGTTGTGTTGGGGCATCCATGGTAGCTTTTATAAAACAAACCCAAGCCTTGTTTTTTTTGCTGTGCAAATTTACTACTTTAGTCAACAAATTGCTCCCAACGGAAGCACTTATACAACTGTTATTTAGTAACTGTTAAAGCCTGTACACATGCTAAATATATTGGTATACAAGTTCACCATAACCTAACTTTCGGCTGTCATATTTTTGTTAAAATGCCATAACCAGTGTTTTAAAACAAACGCATGCATATTGGTTGAAAATGTTTTATCAACTGTTCAAACAGAAGATATAGATCTGGTACAAATTCTAGGTAAATCATTCGACTCTGTCGGACGATGCCATGATTATACACAACCACCCACCATATTGGGCAAACATTTATTCCTCTATTTGATCTAAATAATTATGTTTCAGTTCGAAATTACAGATATAAAGTGATAAACATTAGTGTAATTGTGTCTATATATAGGATTTGTGGAAGATTTAACGTAGATAAGTTCAGTTTTCCATCTTAGAAATCTAGACATACTTTTGATCATTATCAAAATATGAATCAAATACGAAGCCCGTAGAAATTGCGTAACTACTTTGCACGATAATCACAATAAAATTTGCTGCGCAGGTAATTCAATAGCCCTATATCACAGTGTAGAAGTCTATCATATACCTGGGTATGAAATTCACAGTGGCCGATATGTAAGTAAACTAGATGCCTGTATTGTGCTAGTTATATATTCTTCACTTCGTCTATACAATACATAAGAAATAGTTTGGTTGCAATAAAGTAGAATCACGTAACAGAATAGTTGTATAGTTGACAAAAACTGAATCTTGCACTGACGCAAATGTC